GGGATCTATGCTGGGGGTTAGGCTAGGATGGGGGATCTGTACTGGGGGTTAGGCTAGGATGGGGGATCTGTGCTGGGGGTTAGGCTAGGATGGGATCTGTGCTGGTGGTTAGGCTAGGATGGGGGATCTGTGCTGGGGTTAGGCTAGGATGGGGATCTGTGCTGGGGGGTTAGGCTAGGATGGGGATCTGTGCTAGGAGAAGGCTGGAACCATCTTTGCTCAGTCATCACCCAGAGTCACCCTCTACTTCCTGGCCTGAGATGTTGGCTCTGAGGTGACACAAAGACCAAATAAAACCAGTGTGTGTCCTCAGAGATGACATACATCAACAGCTCAGGTAGATGGTGCAGTGGCCAAGTGGTAAGGCGTTGTTCTTGTAAAGCTAACATCATGGGTTCAATCCCCATCTGTCCCTGGTCCTTTAGTCCCCAACTTTATCTTTCGAGTACTATAAACATTTGTGGTAAATCAGTGGACCACATATGTATATATATATCACTTATGGCTATGTCACTTGTATTGCCTCTGCAGTTCTTTGCTTTTGTTCACAAATATCTGACACAGATCAGCCCCTGCTGCATGTCTACAGGCTGCTATGTAGCTTTATACTTTTGTGTGTTCTCAGAATTGGACACAAAATCTCCCAGTCTATAGGGGGTGCAGTGGCCAAGTGGTAAGGCGTTGGTCTCGTCAACCAAAGATCATGGGTTCAATCCCCATCTGTGCCTGGTTCTGTAATCCCGGATCTCATGTTCTGATTATTATGAACATTTGTGATAGACTAGGGAACCTGATAATCATGTTCATAAAAGGGAACATTTGGTCGCAGTGACCATAACACAACTTCAGTTCCCCAATTATCTCCGGCCCCCAGTACACCCTCCATGGACGGGAGGTACAATCAGGCTGGAGGAGGTACATATAGGTCATCCAGCCTGTGTCAGGTTAGGGGCTCACAATGTGGACACAGCAACTTCCCCCCAAATCACTCCTTTTTAGACAGTCCAAAGTATTTAGTAAGAGGCATGGAGAGTGTTATTGAAGTTTTATTTTTTGTCACAATTTTTTTGGAAAATGAAAAAATGGAAAAACAAAATTGTCCCTTTTATTTTCTACATACCATCACCAGTGATGTACGGCGTCATCATATGACTAGTATGGCGTGATCCGGGACACTGGTGACAGGATGTAAAAACAATTGTATCCATTTTGTTCTACATTTTTTTTCTTTTTTTTTTTACATTTTGTTAACACTCTGAGCAGAACAATATCCCGTTACCATAGTTACATTGTACTACTACTGATGACTGCTTATAGGAAGGAAATTCACTTCTACAAGAAAGTATTTTTACTGAATGAAATCAATTAATTCCGTGTGTATGGTTGTGATTGGCCGTGATTGACTACAACTAATCACATGGTACAGATAGGCTGTAATTGGCCCAGTCTGTACTATGTGATCACTGTGACCAATCACAGCTATCAACACAATTGTACACAATCAATGGCATGAATCAGAAGTTTTGTGTATAAGTCTGGCCATACACCAGTAGAATTTAGTGAATATTTGTAGTTATAAGAAGGTTTGTTGGATGATCTAATCATTAGTGGGGATAATCGGCATTTGTATCCAACCAATCATGAGAGAATACCACTAAATACAAAGATCAGATACCACTTGTGTGCGTTCTCAGAGTGTGACATAAATCATCTTCCTATAGAGGGCGCAGTGGCCAAGTGGTAAGGCGTTGGTCTCGTAAACCAAAGATCATGGGTTCAATCCCCATCTGTGCCTGGTTCTGTAATCCCGGATCTCATGTACTGAGTACTATACACATTGGTGATCAGTGACCTGGATAGACATGATTTATGTTTAGGATGACACATTTTTCTTCCAATTACACATTGTGTCTACCAGCTCTGAGGAAAGGGACTCGTCCCCGAAACGCGTCAGCTATACGTCCATACTGACAGTCGGACACCCCCCGCCACACCCGTCATGTCCATCTCTACCGTTCTATAAAGCTTTACATTCATGCCATGTTTGGGAGTATGTTTTCATCCTCTTTACTTTTCCTAATCCTTGGGTAATGCACTCGGGGTTTGTGTCTCCTGTTTGCTCTTTTTTCAGTTGTTGAGTTCCCTATCTGAGGAGGGCAGCATCTCCAGCAAGGGCATTAGTTCAGACAGATACAATATATACCAATGGCCAGAATAGGCAAATAGGAGCCATTTTTGTTTAGGCAACACCCAGAGACGCCTGGCACTGAGATGGGGGCTCGGAGATGGCACAATTGTGTAAACCCTGGTGCCTGTTCAATTCTTATCTCTGTTCACAGATGTCTGACACAGATCAGCCCCTGCTGCAGCCTCTCACCTTGTAACTTACACTGTACAATCTGATCACTGGGGGGGCTCTGATGGGATGAGAAGACTCAGTTAAAGGGGGGCATCTGATGTGAAGGTGGCTTCAGATTTAAAGGGGGGCTCTAATTATATTGGCAGATGCACAAAGTACAAATGTCAAATTGTGTGCAATCTCACAGGGTGACATAGAACCATCTCTCCTATAGGGGGCGCAGTGGCCAAGTGGTAAAGCGTTGGTCTCGTAAACCAAAGATCATGGGTTCAATCCCCATCTGTGCCTGGTTCTGTAATCCCGGATCTCATGTACTGAGTATTATGAACATTTGTGATAGACTAGGGAACCCGATAATCATGTTCATAAAAGGGAACATTTGGGTTGCAGTGACCATAACACAACTTCAGGTTAACCAATTATCACACAAAGTACACCCTCCATGGACGGGAGCAGGGGCGGACTGACCTATATTTGTAAACTCGGTGAGGGCCCCGGGGTAATTAGGGGGCCCCATGAGATGCCACTGGTACCTTTTTCATAGCTTTTTTGACTTTGGGCTTGGACACAGGGGCCCCATGATCCCTATTGCCTGGTGGCCCCATGAGTTGTCAGTCCGCCCGTGGACGGGAGGAGTGTCACAATTCGGCTGGATGATGGTACATGTACGTCATCCAGCCTGTCTCAGGTTAGGGGCTCACAACATAACAGGCATGGAGAGTTTTCTTGAAGTTGTATTTTTTTGTCACAATATTTTTTGGAAAATGAAAAAACTAAATTTCCACTTTTTTTTAACTTTTTTTACATTCACACTCTGAGCAGAGCAATATCCCGTTACCATAGTTACATTGTACTACTACTGATGACTGCTTATAGGAAGGAAATTCACTTCTACAAGAAAGTATTTTTACTGAATTAAATCAATTCATTCCGTGTGTATGTCTGTGATTAGCTGTGATTGGCCACAACTAATCACATGGTGCAGATAGGCTGTAATTGGCCCAGTCTGTATTATGTGATCACTGTGACCAATCACAGCTATCAACACAATTGTACACATTCAATGGCATGAATCAGAAGTTTTGTGTATAAGGCTGGCCATACACCAGTAGAATATTTGTAGCTATAAGAAGGTTTGTTGGATGATCTAATCATTAGTGGGGATAATCGGCATTTGTATCCAACCAATCATGAGAGAATACCACTAAATACAAAGATCAGATACCACTTGTGTGCGTTCTCAGAGTGTGACATAAATCAGCTTCCCCTATAGAGGGCGCAGTGGCCAAGTGGTAAGGCGTTGGTCTCGTAAACCAAAGATCATGGGTTCAATCCCCATCTGTGCCTGGTTCTGTAATCCCGGATCTCATGTACTGATTATTATGAACATTTGTGATAGACTAGGGAACCCGATAATCATGTTCATAGAAGGCAACATTTGGGTCGCAGTGACCAGAACACAACTTCAGTTCCCCAATTATCACCGGCTCCCAGTACACCCTCCATGGACGGGAGGCACAATCAGGCTGGAGGAGGTACATGTACGTCATCCAGCCTATGTCAGGTTAGGGGCTCACAATGTGGACACAGCAACTCCCAGGACGATACAACTTCCCCCCAAATCACTCCATATTAGACAGTCCAAGGTATTTAGTAAGAGGCTTGGAGAGTGTGTTATTTTTTGTCACAATTTTTTTGGAAAATGAAAAAATGGAAAACCCAAATTGTCCCTTTTTTTTCTATATACCGTCACCAGTGATGTACGGCGTCATCATATGACTAGTATGGAGTGATCCGGGACACTGACTGGTGACAGGATGTAAAAACATTGTATCCATTTTGTTCTACATTTTTTTTTTTTATTTTGTTAACACTCTGAGCTGAGCAATATCCCGTTACCATAGTTACATTGTACTACTACTGATGACTGCTTATAGGAAGGAAATTCACTTCTACAAGAAAGTATTGTTACTGAATGAAGTCAATTCATTCCGTGTGTATGGTTGTGATTGGCCGTGATTGGCCACAACTAATCACATGGTACAGATAGGCTGTACTTGGTCTGTACTATGTGATCACTGTGACCAATCACAGCAATCAACACAATTGTACACAATCAATGGCATGAATCATAAGTTTTGTGTATAAGGCTGGCCATACACCAGTAGAATTTAGTGAATATTTGTAGTTATAAGAAGGTTTGTTGGATGATCTAAATCCTTAGTGGGGATAATCGGCATTTGTATCCAACCAATAACCACCAAAGCTAATGGCCACTACTCAGTGCTCCTACTCCCGACCTCTCCGCGGCCTTTGACTTCTGTTGAACACAGTTGACCTTGATAAACTACTCTCCCCTGGCCTCAGAGACTCCGCTCTCTCCTGGTTCTCCTCCTATCTATCCCAACGCTCCTTCAGTGTTACCTATAATGCTACCACCTCCCCCTCTCTCCCCTCTCTGTTGGGGTCCCCCAAGGCTCTGTCCTCGGGCCCCTTCTCTTCTCCATCTACACCTCCTCCCTTGGCAAACTGATACACTCCCACGGCTTCAACTATCACCTCTACGCCAATGACACGCAAATCTATCTCTCTACCCCTCGCCTCACCCCTTCAGTCTCTGCCCGAATCACACACCTACTGAACGATATATTGGATTGGATGTCACTCCACTTTCTCAAATTAAAACCTTTCCAAAACCGAGCTCCTAATTTTTCCCCCCAGCCCGTGCCCCCCCCCCCCCCCCCACCCTCTCCATCACGACCAACAACACCACCATCAGACCCACCCCCGCAAGCCAAAGTCCTAGGTGTCACTCTAGACTCCAATCTATCCTTCCAACCCCATGTCCAATCTCTGACAAACTCATGCAGGCTCCACCTCCGCAACATCTCCAAAATACGTTCATTCCTAACCCCAGAGACCACTAAAACAACTCGTTCACTCCCTTATTATCTCACGTCTGGACTACTGCAACTCCCTCTCTCACCGACCTACCTCATCACAGACTATCCCCGCTTCAGTCTATCCTGAACTCAGCGGCCAGACTCATCCACCTTACCTTATCCTCCACTGGCCTCCACGCCCCTCTGTCATTCCCTCCACTGGTCTCCATTCAGTGTCCTCCACCCCTCTCTCTCATTCCCTCCACTAGCCTCCACTCAGTGTCCTCCACCCCCCTCTGTCATTCCCTCCACTGGTCTCCATTCAGTGTCCTCCACCCCTCTCTGTCATACCCTCCACTGACCTCCACTCAGTGTCCTCCACCCCTCTCTGTCATTCCCTCCACTGTACCTCCACTCAGTGTCCTCCACCCCCCTCTGTCATTCCCCTCCACTGGTCTCCATTCAGTGTCCTCCACCCCTCTCTGTCATACCCTCCACTGACCTCCACTCAGTGTCCTCCACCCCTCTCTGTCATTCCCTCCACTGGCCTCCACTCAGTGTCCTCCACCCCTCTCTGTCATTCCCCTCCACTGACCTCCACTCAGTGTCCTCCACCCCTCTGTCATTCCCTCCACTGGCTCCCCCGATTGCCCAACGCATTAAATTCTGAAAAACTACTAACACAGAGATACAAAGCCATTCACAATGCCGCCCCAAACTACCTCACCCCGACCTGATACCCAAATACCACCCTACCCGTAATCTTCGCTCCTCCCAAGACCTCCTACTCTCTCCCTGCTCCCTGGTCTCCACCTCCCATGCTCGACTTCAGGACTTCTCCAGGACTTCCCCCATCCTCTGGAACTCACTACCCAATCCATCAGACTGTCACCTACCCTCCTCACCTTTAGGCGCACCCTGAAAACCCATCTCTCCAGGGAAGCCTACCCCGCCCCCTGCTAACTCCTCCACTTCTCCTATAACTCCATCCCCCACAGCCACTTCCTCCTGTACCACTATCCCCTCCCTCCTAGATTGTAAGCTCCAAGGGGCAGAGCCCTCGCACCCCTCGTGTATTGTATTGTACTGTATTGTCTCATGTTCTGTCCCCCACTATAATGTACAGCACTGAGCAAACCTTTTTGGCGCTATATAAATCCTGTATAATAAATAAACCAATCATGAGAGAATACCACTAAATACAAAGATCAAATACCACTTGTGTGCGTTCTCAGAGTGTGACATAAATCAACTTCCCCTATAGAGGGCGCAGTGGCCAAGTGGTAAGGCGTTGGTCTCGTAAACCAAAGATCATGGGTTCAATCCCCATCTGTGCCTGGTTCTGTAATCCCGGATCTCATGTACTGAGTACTATACACATTGGGGATCAGTGACCCGGATAGACATGATTTATGGTTAGGATGACACATTTTTCTTCCAATTACATGGTCTACCAGCTCTGAGGAAAAGGGACTCGTCCCTGAAACGCGTCAGCAAGCCGACCATACTGACAGTCGGACACCCCGCCACTGTTATGGCCATCTATACCTGCAATGGAACCGACCCAGACTGTGCTTGAGTAGAATACCGCTTCCCCATCCAAACACCGACAACAGACACCACAGCCGACCATACAAGACTAGACGACACCATCTTGAAGTAAACCAGGAGGTAGACTACTTTATCTGAACACAGATACAAGATATATACACTCAGGGGACAACCCCCCCTCCCTGCATAATGACACAGGGTGGGGCAATCTACATTTAGTAACAAGAGACACACAGGTATTCAAACTTCACACCAGCAGACAGTCCCATCAGGAGGGAGGGCTGCTGGAGACACCCCCCACTAAGCTAATACACATAAACATATACATCCCATAATAGTTTGCTCCCAAGCAAGACACACAATAGAACAATGGGATGCAACCACATGACATTAAACAATCAACAACCCCCCACCCCACCTATCTCCTAATCATGTCTACATAGTCTGAGACAAAGCCCCCCTGTGCTGAGGGATTAGGCTGGGGGAGGGGGGGGGTCTGTCCTGAGGGAAGTTAGGCTGGGAGGAAGGGGGGGTCTGTCCTGAGGGGAGTTAGGCTGGTAAGGGTATCTGTCCTGAGGGGTTAGGGGCGGGAGGGGGGGTCTGCCCTGAGGGGTTAGGCTGGGAGGGGGGGTGTCTGTCCTGAGGGGTTAGGCTGGGAGGGGGGGGGGGTCTGTCCTGAGGGGTCAGGCTGGGAGGGGGGGTATTGTTCTGAGGGGTTAGGGCGGGAGGGGGGGGGGGTCTGTCCTGAGAGGTTAGGTTGGGAGGGGGGGGGTCTGTCCTGAGGGGTTAGGCTGGGAGCGGGCATCTGTCCTGAGGGGTTAGGCTGGGGGGGGGTATGTTCTGAGGGGTTAGGGCGGGAGGGGGGGGGTCTGTCCTGAGAGGTTAGGGTTGGCTGGGGGGGGGTCTGTCCTGAGGGGTTAGGCTGGGAGCGGGCATCTGTCCTGAGGGGTTAGGCTGGGAGGGGGGGTATGTTCTGAGGGGTTAGGGCGGGAGGGGGGGTCTGTCCTGAGAGGTTAGGCTGGGAGCGGGCATCTGTCCTGAGGGGTCAGGCTGGGAGGGGGGGTATGTTCTGAGGGGTTAGGGCGGGAGGGGGGGGGCCTGTCCTGAGAGGTTAGGTTGGGAGGGGGGGGGGTCTGTCCCTGAGGGGTTAGGCTGGGAGGAGCGGGCATCTGTCCTGAGGGGTCAGGCTGGGAGGGGGGGTCTGTCCTGAGGGGTTAGGCGGGGGGGGGGTCTGTCCTGAGGGGTTAGGCTGGGAGGGGGGGGGTCTGTCCTGAGGGGTTAGGCTGGGAGCGGGGTCTGTCCTGAGGAAGGGTTGGCTGGGAGGGGGGTCTGTCCTGAGGGGTTTAGGCCTGGGGGGGGGGGATATGTCCTGAGGGATTAGGGCTGGAGGGAGAAGAGAACGCAGGTCACTACAAGGACTCATAGAAAACAATTGTTACATTTTGCACATAAAATGCTCCTCAACCCAATGCAGATCTATTGGGAACAGAAGATTTGTATTCCTTTGCCCCTTACATGGACCCCCAGCATTGTGTGAGATTTCCTGCATTGTAATACATGTTTCTATGTGAACAGCCCTTACAGGTAACCTGATGAGTATTTCCATCCAACAAGGACATTAGTTCAGACAGATACAATATATACCAATGGCCAGAATAGGCAAATAGGAGCCATTTTTGTTTAGGCAACACCCAGAGACGCCCGGCACTGAGATGGGGGCTTGGAATTTGCACAATTGTGTAAACCCTGGTGCCTGTTCAATTCTTATCTATGTTCACAGATGTCTGACACAGATCAGCCCTGCTGCAGCCTCTCACCTTGTAACTTACACTGTACAATCTGATCACTGGGGGGGCTCTGATGGGATGAGAAGACTCAGTTAAAAGGGGGCATCTGAGGTAAAGGTGGCTTTAGATTTAAAGGGAGGCATTGATTATATTGGCAGACGCACAAAGTACAAATGTCAAATTGTGTGCATTCTCACAGGGTGACATAGAACCATCTCTCCTATAGAGGGCGCAGTGGGCCAAGTGGTAAGGCGTTGGTCTCGTAAACCAAAGATCATGGGTTCAATCCCCATCTGTGCCTGGTTCTGTAATCCCGGATCTCATGTACTGAGTACTATACACATTGGGGATCAGTGACCCGGATAGACATGATTTATGGTTAGGATGACACATTTTTCTTCCAATTACATGGTCTACCAGCTCTGAGGAAAAGGGACTCGTCCCTGAAACGCGTCAGCAAGCCCGACCATACTGACAGTCGGACACACCCCGCTACTGTTATGTCCATCTATACCTGCAATGGAACCGACCCAGACTGTGCTTGAGTAGAATACCGCTTCCCCATCCAAACACCGACAACAGACACCACAGCCGACCATACAAGACTAGACGACACCAGTCTTGAAGTAAACCAGGAGGTAGACTACTTTATCTGAACACAGATACAAGATATATACACTCAGGGGATAACCCCCCCTCCCTGCATAATGACACAGGGTGGGGCAATCTACATTTAGTAACAAGAGACACACAGGTATTCAAACTTCACACCAGCAGACAGTCCCATCAGGAGGGAGGGCTGCTGGAGACACCCCCCACTAAGCTAATACACATAAACATATACATCCCATAATAGTTTGCTCCCAAGCAAGACACACAATAGAACAATGGGATGCAGCCCACATGACATTAAACAATCAACAACCCCCCACCCCACCTATCTCCTAATCATGTCTACATAGTCTGAGACAAAGCCCCCCTGTGTGCTGAGGGATTAGGCTGGGAGGGGGGGGGGGGGGGGGTCTGTCCTGAGGGAAGTTAGGCTGGGAGGAAGGGGGGGTCTGTCCTGAGGGGAGTTAGGCTGGTAAGGGTATCTGTCCTGAGGGGGTTAGGGCGGGAGGGGGTCTGCCCTGAGGGGTTAGGCTGGGAGGGGGGGGGTGTCTGTCCTGAGGGGTTAGGCTGGGAGGGGGGGGGGTCTGTCCTGAGGGGTCAGGCTGGGAGGGGGGGTATGTTCTGAGGGGTTAGAGGGCGGGGAGGGGGGGTCTGTCCTGAGAGGTTAGGTTGGGAGGGGGGGGTCTGTCCTGAGGGGTTAGGCTGGGAGCGGGCATCTGTCCTGAGGGGTTAGGCTGGGAGGGGGGGTATGTTCTGAGGGGTTAGGGCGGGAGGGGGGGTCTGTCCTGAGAGGTTAGGTTGGGAGGGGGGGGGTCTGTCCTGAGGGGTTAGGCTGGGAGCGGGCATCTGTCCTGAGGGGTTAGGCTGGGAGGGGGGGTATGTTCTGAGGGGTTAGGGCGGGGGGGGGGGGGGTCTGTCCTGAGAGGTTAGGCTGGGAGCGGGCATCTGTCCTGAGGGGTCAGGCTGGGGAGGGGGGTATGTTCTGAGGGGTTAGGGGCGGGAGGGGGGGTCTGTCCTGAGAGGTTAGGTTGGGAGGGGGGGGGGTCTGTCCTGAGGGGTTAGGCTGGGAGCGGGCATCTGTCCTGAGGGGTCAGGCTGGGAGGGGGGGTATGTTCTGAGGGGTTAGGGCGGGAGGGGGGGGTCTGTCCTGAGAGGTTAGGTTGGGAGGGGGGGGGGGTCTGTCCTGAGGGGTTAGGCTGGGAGCGGGCGTCTGTCCTGAGGGGTTAGGCTGGGATGGGGGGGTATGTCCTGAAGGGTTGGCCTGGGAGGGGGAGTCTGTCCTGAGGGGTTAGGGTGGGAGGGGGGGGGGGATATGTCCTGAGGGATTAGGGCTGGAGGGAGAAGAGAACGCAGGTCACTACAAGGACTCATAGAAAACAATTGTTACATTTTGCACATAAATGCTCCTCAACCCAATGCAGATCTATTGGGAACAGAAGATTTGTATTCCTTTGCCCCTTACATGGACCCCCAGCATTGTGTGAGATTTCCTGCATTGTAATACATGTATATATGTGAACAGCCCTTACAGGTAACCTGATGAGTATTTCCATCCAACAAGGACATTAGTTCAGACAGATACAATATATACCAATGGCCAGAATAGGCAAATAGGAGCCATTTTTGTTTAGGCAACACCCAGAGACGCCCGGCACTGAGATGGGGGCTTGG